AAGCACGCCAATATGACCCAAGTGTTAGGCTACAGCGTAGGGATCATTCCTGCTAATAGCGATCAGAGAGTTTAGTGCAAAAACGCATAATCGCACCGAGAGCCTGGTGCGTTCCAGCCTGGGTTGCATTTGCGTAAATGCAAAAATGCATAAAAATTGAGTTTCAAAGTAAGCGTACACACGAGTGAATTATAAACAAAATCCTGTAGAGGAGAAAATCTCCGGCGTTTCTGGATTGGCTCTTCCTCTGGGTGATGAAGAATGTGAACGAGGGACAAAGAGTAAGGAGGCACAGGGGGATTTGGCTACCATTATAGGCGAAATGAAAAGCTTCAAAGAGGATATCTGAACGATATTCAGCACACGTCATCTAATTTCCTGAATTTTGCTAACTTCACGCTCAAAATCTTCAACTTGTCGTGCTTCACGTGGGAAACCTTCCAAGAAGAAAGCTTTTGCATCCTGATGTTTGCCCATCTCCGCTTTCACCAGCGAAAGCGCCAAATTGTTCGGTATCAATTCACCTAAAGCAGAATAATGCAATCTTACTTTGTCGATCCTGAGCAATTAACCTACATTTCATTAAATGAAAGTTATGAAAGGAAAGGATGAAAAAAAGAGAAAAGAGAGAAAAGAAAGGTGATGAATGAAAATTAGAAAATTTTTAATATTATAATTATAAGAAAGTGTCTCGGTTCATTAAGACTCCTATGAAGCAAACTAGCTCGAGATTACATCAGTATCGTAAAAAAAAACTTGTTATTATGCTACATGAGAGTTAGTTGCCGAACTGGTCTTGCACAACTCTCGTGTTTTCAAAATTTTCATCCTTTTTTACAATAACTGTGCACGCTATCTAGCTCTACGAGGCTCCATTATAACGCTATCGTCTAATCCGACACCTTCTGCCTCCCAAAGAAACGACCAGCAAAAAGGCTGCCAACATGTCAAACTGTAAGTCAACGACCAATGTTACTGTTAAAAATATTTTTTTGAGCCAAAAAACACAACATTGTTAATTGTAAGAACCCCATTGGATGCCACTGCTGATTTTAAAACAGCGGATATTAGTTATAAGAACCAAAAATCAAAAGATATTTTTATTTTTTCCAAAAATTGTCGAATCAGTTTTAATGTTGCTTCGAAAACGAAACCTATGCTCCATAGTAATACATTCCCTTTTACATGGTTGCATTAGTGAGCCTGACATTATATATTACGGGCTTTAAAAAAATAACCTCGCTGATAGCGTTGTGCAGCTTCTTTCCATTCCGGATAATTGTTCTGGTATTTGGCAATTGCAGCACGAATCATATCCGGCATACAAATGTGCACAAGGCCAAACTTACCCAAAGCTTCCTGCACCCGAGCTGCATGTCGTGTTTTTCCGCCTCCGGGGCCACCTGTAGCGCAATTTTATATCATATGAATAGTGATTACTGAAGGCCAGATCTAGATAAATTTTTCAAAACGCAAATTCCTAACTTTGCGAAAATTTTAATGAAAGATGGGTAATTTTGTGCAAGCCACGTAGCTTCCACATAAAGAAACTCCATTCTGTTCAGACTGAAAAAACTCGAATTTTTCAAAACTGCTTAATCTGAGAGAAAAAAGCAAATTTTTTTTGAAAGGTTGTTAAAACTGAAGGTTTCGTGTGAAGTGAAAAAACATACCCATGAATAAAATAATTGGGACATCCGGAATTTTCGCTGATTCGGCCGCTTGCATTATAGATGTTGGTCGTAACGGTAAATCGATTGCGGCAGTTGCAACGGTTGCAACAGTAGGCGAACCAGTGACGGAAGTTTTTGAACCACTTCTGTAATCATAAATTCGAAAGTAATGAATTTTCACACGAAAAATCTGGAATCACCAAGAGCATTGTCAAGGAAGTCACACGAAAAGCCAGCAGTTGCTACTAAAAGGTGTGCTATACAAGGTGCAGCAACTAGAAGATGTAGGATATAGACTAAGCATACACACAGCTTACACATCCGGTTGCAGAACTAAAATTTTTTTGTTTAAGAGCCGGTGGTGCATTGGTTTTGTGTGTTGCGTCTGGATGTGAAGACGAGTGATTCGATTACCTTCCGGTTCACAGTCATTCATAAAAAGCGGTTCCGTTCGCGGTTCAAAACTGAGAGCGCTAATGTGAGTGGAGGGAGGGGAGGGGAGAGGGAGAGGGAGGAAGAAGTTCCAGCACTTTTTGGTGGAACAGTTTGAAAATAATTTCTGCTGTATATCTTCAGTTAGTAGCGGCTACATTGTTTCCCGGTTTGTGCGCACAGCCCCTTTTTCAAACGTATCCGAATTATTCACGTTTCTGAAGGTATAACTCATTGCACACGACGTCTGTCGAGTTTTAGCCGGCAAGTGAACAACATTTCTTCGTCTATCTGATTTTACTTTTTCCTGCAAACGGTACTCTATAGGCGGAATGTCTATGTTATTTAGCAGAGATGCTCTATGCACTTTTCACTTCTGCACAGTACGCACTTGATGAGCTAAAATCAAATTTTAAAACTCCTTCTGTCTTGGTTGTAACCTCATGCCCAAATAAACGCTGGGATTGTGGTTTCTGAAGGCATGCGAATTCCACCATAACAACAGCATATTACTGCAAAAAAGAAAAAAGAACATATTTACTTGATGACGCCGGAGAAGCTATTTTCTAAAAGAAAACTCACAACAAGATGAATAATGAGCCTCTTTTGCATGGGGCAAAATTACTTCGGCCATCTAGACAATCGGATGTGGATTTGATTTTAGTGATTCACTTGGCTCTGTCAGGCCTTTTGATTCCGAACCGGACAAAACTGTATTCTCAGTCAGGAATCTACATGAGACTAATTTTTAGCACAAATTGTCACAGGTGATGATCATTTCGAAAGATTGTTAAAATTCTTTAATAGGTAGAACGAAGATCACACAACCAGCGGGCGGACTGTGATGTACTTAGTGCTTTAGAACATCAAAAAAAAGAAAGCAGGGGGAATAAACATTTGGATCACCATCTGAGCAAAACGCTCCAACCTCAAAGATCGCCAATCACGTTGATATCGGAAAAGTACGGTACAGTAGAACAACACCTGGTCGACATAACTAGGTTCTTTGCATTTCGAATAGTGAAAGAAAAGTGATAGTTTCCTCACTTGCTACCTTACGAAAACGCCAAAACTGTCTGCATGGAGAAAAGAAGGCGGTAAACTGAATCAACTGGCACACAGAAAGGAAGTAAATGCAAGAATTAAGTTGAAACAGCCACTGAATTTTGCAGCATGAGCGTAAGTCAATACAGAAGATAACAAGAATATCAAGACCACGTTTACCCCTTGCCAGTAATGTAGCTGAGATGCTCCCACACGTCGGATGCAGTGAAAAATAGGCAAAAACAAGTTTAGCACAGACTGAGCTTCAAACTCAGATTCAGAAACTAGCTGCACTACTGATTTTACATGGAAATTTTCAAAGAGTAACCTCTGAGTCTGTCGACTGGCTGCTGCGCTGCTCCTGGATTTCGACGGCTTCCTTACCTTTTCAACCGGCACAATTTTTAGGTCTGAAATATTCACTTTTTCAGTATTTCGGAGTTTTGAGCTGCGACTGTTGAGCCCAATAATCCATGAGGTAGTTTATTTACTGACCACCTGCAGTGAATTCAATAACACATTTCCTGTTTATGACTAGTCAACGCAGGCTCAGTTTCGATATTATTTGCTTTAATGTCTATAGTTAGGATAACTGGCGCAGACAATTTCTTAGACCCTTCAAAGCAAAATCTTTTATTAACTCAGAAATTGAACTTGAAATGTAGTTGGAACTAAGCATACATGAAAAGCACTTTAAAATCAAGCAATGAGATGAAATGGAAAATCTCACTCACGCCCTCAGTTCAGTAATATGTGAAAAGTTAAGAGTGTGCTGTGGCTCAGTAATTTTAGCAAAATTTCATGAAAAATACTCCTCTTAAAAGTGGCACACGCCAGGAAGTCAGACCTGCTATCAGCTTACATGTAAGCAGTAATAGCATAAAAGGATGTGGGGGTCAATCTGCAAACATGTGCAGTGAAGACATTCAGAAAGCAATTTGTATTTTATCCATTAGCTGTAATCACAGACCGAAAGCAGCATACGATTGGCAGTGGGGATAATTAGTACAGCTTCCTCTCGCCATATGTATGATGAAAAAAGAGTAATGAGAAAGTAAAAGAGAAGGCGAAAACGACGTGAAGACGATAAACCCTCGAACAGAAAAGCTTTCGACAACCTTGTTAGTCGGGGTTCTAATTGCCGTGTACCTTCGCTTCTCACACAGAGTGAGTGCGGAAGGGCTTTTGAGTTTCTGAGTTACTGGCATTTTGAAATTTTTTGAACAGCATTCACTGGCACCTTGCCAAACACAAATGAATTTTTTTGCTGAATTAACAGATAACAGAATTATTTTTAACTTTCTAAAGAAAAACCGAGACATGCTTTGCGATCCTTGGAAAAATAACCTGAAGGGCCCTTCCTTTCCATCATTGCCGCTTTTCGAGTTTCTTCTCGGAACTGCGCTTTCCATCCGCTTTTATTTAGTTAAAAAAAAACGGTAAAATTTCGCGGTTTTGTTTAGTAACATGCCAGCAGTAGTAAATAGCGACACACGCACACACCAGACAACCCCTGCGATCAAAGGTTTTGCTCAACTCTCCTCAGCGCAGTTAGAAAAGGGACAACAATTTCTCGCCTGGGTTTTTAAGCGCCCGCACATGAGACATAGGCGTGTAGAAAATAAAATCAATTTTCTTGGGCAGAAAACATCCTGTTAAAACTTAAGCCTTCTACTTTGCCTGGTTCCGAGAGCATTCGAGGGTTTGAAAATTACCTGCAAGGCCTTAAAAATGACCAGAGAAAATTAAGAAGTTTTCAGCCACAAAGGAAAGATCTGTTCTCACCAAAACCTTAATAAGTGAAATTTCGCGTGACTGTGACTGAGACGTAAGCATGAGTGGGAGCAGAATTTGAAATTCTACAGGCGCACAGAGCGGGAAACAGTTTTCGAAAATTACAGCTCTTTGTTTTCTGAGCTGGGAAATTTCTCGCCAAAACTTTCACATGTCTACAGCAAGACCTAAGGATAAGAGAAAAGTTTAAATTTGCAAAGGAGCACATGAGCAGAGATCATCTTCCTAAAACTTCAGTTCCTTAGCTTTTTCCGGTTGCTTAGTTAAAAACTTCGAATAAAAATCCACACACACACACACACACACACACACACAAATGCATACGTAGACATGTACAGATTTAATAGGTTTGTAACAGGACAAAGGGACTTACATTCATTTATTGTAACCGTTTTAGTAGGTTTTCGAACGGAAGCAGAGTTTTTGTTAAGTTTTGCAAGGACAGATTTGGTTGATTTGGTCTCTGCAGAGATACGGTCGCGGTGAGCCATTCTCGCTTGCTTAATTGAGGCAGTATGCACGAATTGACAAACACTCAAAGAGAAACGGAAAAGTTATCAGCTGCAGAAATGACATGCAGTGGAAAACATCTGCTAACTCAAAGTAGCGATTTGCACAAGAACAACAACTTTTCAGGGAATGAATGCGGAAGAGAAATATTTCCGGGATCAGGTGGTTGTTTTAGCAAGGGAACTGTTCTGCAGTCAGCTTAGATTAGCACAAAGGCAAATAAATTTGCAATGTTCAGTAATATTTAGCTTCGGATTATTCAAACGTCAAGTGGTTACATGACCACCAAAATCGCCCAAACTTTCGGCTGCAGCACGAGCGTTAGTGGGATAATTGTTTCGCGGTTGATAATGACCACTGCTTATATGGCCGTGATCACACGGGCAGTCGTCATCCGAGGTGAACAGAATAGGCGCACGGCAAACAATAGGTACTCACTTAGCACTCGTCAAGTGCGAACAAGCAAAGCTAAGGTGTAGGCGGAGGTCGTTTGCCTAGGCAAGTCGGAGAGTAGGTGAGTGCCTGTGTGTATGATTTTAAAGGCTTCCGGATTAGAATGGTGGTTGTTTGCGGCTTTTCAAGAAAGCATCAGACTCCTTAGCGGGATGAATGATTTTGCACTGCAACCAACAATTATCTTGACTTCACGAGTTTATGCTTTTTTGTCGTTTTTCTTTCTGAGACACATATTCAAGAAATCGAAGATTTTGGCTTGGAAAAAGGAGCACAACACATAGGGCCAAATCACAGTTGAACCGAAGAAATTTTTGATTGGAAGGACTGCTTCTGCTTTTTATGCGTTTTTCCTGGATAATAGCAGTACAAAAAGTATATTGTTACGGGGTTGTCTGTGTGTATATGTTGGCGTGTGTGTTTTGTGTGTCTGCGTGTGCGTGTGTGTGTGTCCATCCAAGTGCGTTTTGTTCCGCATTTTCAACTCAGGAACCACGAAAGCTGGTACTCTGAAATTTTTAGAATGTTTCCCGCCCACGTGTAACTCTGCAAATTTAAATTCGGCCTTCACTTACCCGCTGGTATCATATATGAACCCGCGAAAGCTTTGACGAGGAAAATTATTATCTTGGGAACCACAAAAGCTGGGAAGCCGAAGTTTTAGATTATATTGCCCTCTGCTCACGTGCGATCCTGTAAATTCAAATTCAGCTTTCATATACTACTGGAGCTCAACGTTCCTGTGAATGTTTTGGCAAGGGGAATTATTACCCGAGAACCAAAAGAGGCAGGGGGTGAAGATTTCAGGAGGATGTTTTCTGCCTGTGCAGAGGCCACAAAAACTCAAATTTAATTCCCAAGTATGCCGAGTTCTTACGCTCGACCACATAAAAGTTTGGCTCGAAAATCACTCAAAAACCAGAAAATTAGGAGGCTGATTTTGGAAGAATGTTTGTTGTACGAGGTTTAGTGGGGAATTAAGAAAATTAGGAACTGGACAACACTTCTACTATTTTTGCATAGACGAAAGTACAAAACAGTAAGAGTCCTTAGCAGGCAAACGTTCGCTGAACGGAACTGCGCAAAACGCACGATCGCACCGGTTACGCTAGTGCGCGCTGCTATTTATTTGAAAATGTGATTGATATTTTCGAACTCACTCTGACTTGAGTTTTATCACTTCAAAAAGCCAAATCCGTTCATAATTTATTTCCGATATGAGACAGAAACAACTAAAAGTGTAGTAGCATAATTTTAAACAGTACGCATCCGCTGGCAAAGCTCTCAATTGGTTATTTCAGTTGCATGCTTGAAAGCAAGCTGATATCAGTTCTGACTATTCGGCATATGCGATAGCCAGATTTTTACAGGAACGATTCAAGAAAACACGCAGCAGTTTTCTCAAAGGCAGAAACTGACTTTAACCTGACAATAACGTTTCTGGCATCACACAAAATCAGCTCGGTCGCGTTTTACTAAAAGGTAAACCCTTGTATCTGCTCGTGTCGAACGTTTACATGCATCCGTCCGCATGTGTTTTTGTCTACTTTACTATATACAACAAATATGTACACACACACACACACACACACACACACACACACACACACGTACACAAACACACACACGTACACACACTAATACACCATACCACACACAAACAAACATACACACAAATACACGTTGATGCGTCAGTATGCAGCCAGACAAATAAAAGCACAGGCGCACAAATACTTAACAAAATCTAGCACCATTTCGTCAACAAAGCGTTTTTTGACTCACGCAAAATACGTGGAAAACAGCAATGTTGCATAAAAATCTTAACCAAACGAATAATATTAGTTGTTATGGTAACCAGAATAATTCAAGATGTAGGGAAGCAAACTTTCCAGAAAGACATTTTCATTTGGAGTTTGATAATAAAAATGATGTTGCTGATTAGAAATGTGAAATTAGCTTCTTTATCACATCCGAAAAACTGCGCATTTCTTTGCAAAAGCTAACGCTAATCTCCGCATCAGCGATTACGCTACTATGTGATTGCCTAGGCGTAGTGGAGAGCTAATCATAAAAAACAGTCTCGACTACTGCATCGTAAAAAGCCACCAACCATTTTCAGCAGATTCCTCGTATCGCCGGAAAACCTCCTCATCGACGAACGAATCCCATTTGTACTCTAGGTCCGGATTCTGCCGCACTTTACCAATTGCATTCTCCAGGAATTCGATCGGATCATTTGGCTTGTTGTATATTAGTCCTGTGATTAGACCCTGTAAGATATTCTGTTTGACCTGTCGTAACGTAACGAAGGAAATTTGGAGACATAAACATGTATTTATAAACTATTTGACAGACACAACAATTTTCCTCAATCTAATCCCTGTACCGATCGAGTCAAATTTAGATCCATTATCTGACAAATTCTATGTTGCTCCTCAAAATGCGCTGTGAATTTCTTTGGTTTTCATTATGTATGTGTCTATGTTCGCACTTTTTGTCAACCATTTTCAATTCGGGAACCAGAAAAGCAAGAAGGCTGAAACTTCGGGAGTATGTGCCCACACCATATGCGACCCTCCCGTTTTAATGCCATCGCCCGCGCACGCCTGGATCCTAACTACGAGCGCCTCGAAAAAACGTGCGAATTTTTTGGCGGGAAAGCGATCTCGAAAACCAGAAGAGGTAGTGAGCTGAAACTTTGCAGGGATATTCTCTCAGCATTTTTTTCATGATCTAAAAATTTTAAACTCAGCCTCAAGGGGTCTGTGATTCACAAGTAAGAGCACGTGAAAGTTTAGACGGGGAAATTGCTGGCTCGGAAAGCAGAAAAGCTGGAAAGCTGAAATTTTAAGAGAATATCACTCATCCAAATACAACTTAAAGATTTCAAATTCAGTCCTCCACGTATCGTGATTCTTGTGTACCGGCACTTATATTTTTGGTGGGAAATTTGCTCACTGAACAGCTAGGTCATTTTCAAACAAGGACCACTAACGGAAATTGTTCATCTTCCTTTTTGCAAAACTTACAATGATTTATGGTGTGAGCGCACAAGGCAGGTGTGAAGCAACATCCATCCGTGCAGTTGAGTTCCTATTTCAAGTTTAGCGCAAAAATGCATGATGGTACCGGCAAGCTTAGTACGTTCCAACCTGGCTTTTCAACTGTCACTTAACTGACGACCCACAAACACTGAATGCTATTGCGCCTCTTTACCACTAATCCAATTGTGTTTTGCGCGCAAGTGCAAGGGTCAAACAGTGTTACGTTCGCTGGCCGGGGGGTCCACCAAAAGCATAGCAAGCAAGGGATTTCCGACCCGACTATCCGAGTATTCTCGATATTTAAAAAATACTTGTCGTATTTCAAATATAAAAAGATATAACTAAAAAATTTAAAACAACATCAGTTTCTAAGCAAAGAATGCTCCACCGTAGGTTTTATTTAAATTTTTGACAGCCCTGACAATTTAGCTACAGAAATAAGCAGCTAAATTTTTTCGCTTTTTGAGAGCATAATCTTGACTCATGTATAATGCGCCAAACCCGAAATCAGCCTACAGATTTTTCCATGCGCTGAATTCCCGTGAAGCAGCTATCCACCCTTGGTAATTTTTCCTACTACATGAGTTGAAAAGCACCAATAAAGCAAGGTATTTTTTAAAGTTTCAGGATTTTCTGGTCAGGACAATTCAGAAAGGCTTTCGAAATGAAAAATCAGTGTTTCGATAAAAAAATCCGCATACAACAATATCAGCAAGAAATGATGCTAATTTTGATCAGCTACGATTCGTATTTGTATAACTGGCAAATTTTCCAGCTTTCCTGATCAGCGTGGGCATCGCCTGATGATCAGACTGCTGGTGTTCTCGACGCCTTTGGAAACAACAAACAGTAATTGTAAATGTTGAAGTAGCAATAAATTATTCGATGGAACAGATACTTATTTTGCGTTTCCCGGGAAACGAAGATATTCTTCTTAAGCTCATTTGACTGATTAAAACGAACATTCCAACACAAGTTGTGTGGTGCAAGAAGAAGCGTCGGTATCACCAGCAAAAACCTGACCATCCGGTTATGCATCTTGTTCACAACAATCTCAAAGAAACTGCTCAACAAGTTTTTGATGCAAAGACAGGCTGCGATCATGGCACATCTGATAGCTTAGTGTTGAGGAAAGCATCAAAAAAAGCAGCTGTGAGAAAATTTGTGAAGTTTAGCGGAGAAAACGTTATTGAGAGGTGTGAATAAAGAAGGCCGACTGAGGGACGCAGCGCATGTTCGCTAATCGCTTTTTGAGGCTTTGTTGCACAATGCACATATACATAACAAAACATAATAATACTGCTCTTAGTTCATGGTGAGATTTCTCTTAGTCTGTAATTGTCACCACTTTAATCCATATTGTTGATGCAGTTAGTGCCACTGTGTACACGTATAACCTGAGAGTTCTTAGACTGAAACGAACCTGAGACTGAAATTTCTCCAAATATCAAAAGTCTCACTCGACATTACTCTCTCTTTGAGAAAAAGAAGCACTTGGATGTAGCCAAAGTGGTAGCAAAACAAATCTGCGCCAAATCTGGGACGTTGTGACACAGATAGGACAGTATAAAACTGAATAAAGACTGTAAACGCGTGCAAATTGGGCAGAAAAAAAACTATACTGATGATTTTCATCCCTACTCGCACCCAATTCTTCAGCTGAGGAGTAAGCGAAGGTCCCCAATGTACAGCAGTAGAGTGGAACCGAAAGCTTCTCGTGCTGTCAGAGGAATCAGGAATAGCAATTTCCTGGCTTATATCAATCATTTAAATTGGTGGCTTCAGACCGGTATGTGTGCCTTGGTTCACTGCACTAGTTCTGCGACATTTGCTACACAGTTATGATATGAAAAAAAAGATTTTGGATAAGTGTATTTGGGAGTATGTGCGAATAATTTTTTAATTTTTTTTTTGCCCTCTCAGTACATCAAATGTGGAGCAAAAGCCACTTTCTTTAGCTAAAAATAAGAAAACCGAAATATCTGGCCAAGGTGCTGCATGATCATGGTGCAGTCTGTGCTTCACTCCTTCGCTAGAAACACAAGCAAGAGTTTATGTGCGACTAGAAGCGAGAATCATTAGTACAATTCATAATGTTATAAGGCTTGCTTGTGACTCAGTTCTTGGAGCCTGACAATAGCTTACAGTCAGAATACATTCTTCTCCCTCTTGATTCGCACTGCAGTTACTTGATTTATTTCTTTTTGCACAGAACAAAAGTAATAACTCGGCTACTACTGATAATAATCATTAGCGATGCACACCAGGTGGGCCCATGCGATCATGCGTTTTTGCAGTGTTTCGCGCTGTAGTAATGTTGCTGGGAAACCCAGTAGATAGAATTTGTAACACAGTTTTCGACGTTCAGGAAGTTAATTCTGCAACTACACTGTACTTAGACAGGGACGTTCCGTTGAAATTTCAGCTTGCCGATTTTCTTCGCTCCCGAGTTAGCAATTTTCCCGTCGATAAATTTCATGGGTCCATCTGTGAGAACCACGTACACCTGGGATTTAAGTCTCACACCCAAAAGCTGTACGGGAGCTGCAAAGATCCCTTAAAATTTCAGCCTTCCAAAATTTCAGCCTTCCAGCCTTCCAGTTTTTTTAGTTCCTATGTTAGCAATTTTCTCAGCAAAACTTCCGCGCGCTCTACGCGGGACCTAGATGTGCGTGAAGGCTGCTACCGCGGCCCAGGCACGGCACTTGGCCGGGGAACACACTGGCAAAATTTTAGCGTCGAAGCCTGCTTAATAGACTAGTTGAAATACTCGGACAGACGCGCGCATGTGCACATGCAGACACACACACACACACGCACACCCAGCACCATGGCTCGTCACAGCATGCGTTTTGCATTTGCACATACGCAAAAACGTATAAAAAGGCTGTAACATTATTCATTATTTCACGTGAATAAGCGCATGCAAAGCACACACATATGTAAACAAACAAATCTGCATAAGTGCGTAACACATTTACAGTACACACATATGTTAACAAACGAATGTAACTGTTGCACAGAAATCTTAAGGAGTATCAACACTTTCAGTAAAATTCAGCTTTAGCAAACTTTTAAGGCATTGTGCGTTTGCGTAATAGAATTGGAAATTCAGAAGCACATTTAGTATTCAAAGAGAAAAAAAGAAAGACCTCAAAAAGCTGTGGTATAGAGTGCTCCTGAAGGTAACGCTTTGCTTCAGCACCCATTGGTCGTCGCTACACTGAAGGTTTTGAAGTGTTGCCAGTACAGGACTGAAACTGTAAGCGTTTAGCAAAAATAAACCTGAGGTGAATTTGAAAGGCAGCTGCGAAGCTCGGAACGTCAAAAATTTTGCTTGCACAAATATGTGTTTTCGGCTTTTCCGAGAAAAACAAATTAAATTCATTCCCTGCGCCACACAGCAATTACTTTTTATAGAGAAGAGAATGTTGTTTTTTAAACCTGCGCGAAACATCGGAGCGGAGCTCCGATGCTTTTAACGAGTATCCTCGTAGTGGACACAGAATAGCATGTGAAAGGCGAATTTATAGAATTTTCTTGTTGAACTCAGTTGCTGCGGACGGATTTCTCACTTTTTAAATATATTCTATATGTCATTAGTAACCAGCAGTAATTGGGTCAGCCTGGCATTCGAAAGGAAAATTCGAAGAAAGGATCCGAGAACCCGCGAGGGTTTGAAAATTACTTGTACGGCCTTAAAAATGACCAGAGAAAATGAAAAAGTTTTCAGCCACAAAGGAAAGATCTGTTGTCACCAGCAAAATAGCATTTCACCGGAAAAAGCAGTATCATATAGTTAAAAAGGAATCAACGCTTTTTTGCTGAGAAAGCAGTACAAAAAGCTAGAAAAGCAATGAGAAACTGTCGGCAATAAGCGAAATATTGTCATTTTTGTATGTTATTCTAGCCGGAAGGATGGATAACAGCGATGAATTTGGATCGGTGCTGTTTGTTGTATCATTCGAAGCATATGCTGATTAAAAAGCACCTTCATGTGGGTAACTTGCAGCCGAGTGCCTCCCTTACCGTGCCATTCGTTGCTATGACAATTTCAGCTGATTTGATTTCATCCCAAATGCGCTGGCGCACTCATTTTGCTTGATTAAAGCCAGCAACATGTCAACACGTGGCGGCACATCGCAAATGCTATTTCTTCAAGCGATTGCTGCTCTTTTCGCTAACGGTCCTCGTCTAGTGGGTTATGGAGGCGTCATTTCCACGAGTTATCGCAGTGATCTTTCAGAAGCAGACATGAACTGTCACACAGATTGTTCGCAGTTTGAACGGAAGTCAAAAAAAATTTTTTTTATTTTTTTGCTCCAAAATTCCTTCGAATTGGAAACATCCAGGCATATGGAATCAAAGAAATATGTACGGCTTTCTGCAGAAGATCGATGCGTGGTGACGAATGGATTTTTAATGAAATTTTTTCAAAACAGTTGAAAAATAATTTTATTTTACCTACATTTCAGCACTTTATTGAAAAAATTGATAAACGACTAAATTTAATTGAAATAAAAAATTTTTGAAAGAACTTTTTACGAAATAAAAATTTATTTTGAAAAATATATTCCAAGAAATCGTTCTTGTATCGTTCCTCCAATGAAAGAAATATTGCCAGTCCAGTTCTATTAGTTTTCCAAATGCCAAAAAGCGAAAAAAGGAACGAATGACAGCCACACCAATAGTCAACTTTATGTGTTACAAGGTTCTGAAAGGTCATATCAGCGATGAACGGAAATGGCAGACTGAATGTCATGAATTCTATCCTCCAGATGCAAAAAAAGCCTTTTAGTGAACACTGATTCGAAGTAGATTTGCAGATGGTCAGAACAATACAAAAACTAATGGACAAGCATTTTACCCCTGCTGCGTTTTTTGCAAAGCTATCATCCTCATATTAAGCGTAAATTGTAAAAAAATAAGGTGATACCATTTTTCCATACAGTGTGTGATAAAATTTTTGTCTTTGTTTTGATAACGCCAGCAAATAATCTCAATTATTCTTCTAAACAATTACTGCTTCACCGTCGCTTTTCATTTTGCGATTTTTTGGCTAGCAGTTTTTTACTTCTTCGCTGTTCGGGGTCTCTCTCATCCACTTGGTGTCATAGTGCTAATCAAGCTGATTCTTACACTACATTGGATTCCCTTCATTTTTCCTCCACCTCTGTTAAGTAATCATTAATTTTCTATTAGGATAGAGGCTGCTAAACTAAAAAGAAACTTCAAAATTTCTTTTATTTTTAAAAATTGTATTATTTTCTCGTCCTGTGCAAGTTCTGGCCCCGACACTTATTAAAACAAAGCAAACATGTTCCGAACAATTGCAATAAAAGTTTGAAAACGCATGAGGCAGTGAGGTTGCTATTGCCGCGGCAATAGAAGTCTAAGCTGTTTAGCCGTCTGAGAGAAAAATGGCAGGAGCCGATGGTTTAGTTAATATCAAAGAATGCAGCGAGTGAGTGAATTTTGACATTTGAGAAATGATCTTAGAATGCACTTGCGTGTCGCATGGAAGGAGGAAGAGGGCGTGTGGAAGTGAGTTAGAAAAAGACGGAATAAACTGTCTCCTACTTTCTTCAGAAGTAAGAATTTTTCACCAACTTCTTAAAAAACTAAAAAATCTTTCAGTATTTTGTACATAGCATTCTTACTAACATGTTAATCGCAAACAAATTTCTGTATAAGCATCTCATAATTGCTTGGTATCAGTAACAGTCTTCAAAATGACTGGAGAAACTGTCATATAATTTTGTTTGTCACTGAAGAAAAGCTGGGAATTGATCGCCAATAATGGTTATCATTAGCGAGAAACGATCCAAACGATCTTAGGAGTAACATAAGCAGGATGTATCAAGAAGCGGGCACAGTTACCGGTTTTTATGCGTTTTTGCATGTATGTAAATTGCAAAAACGCATATTGGGAAGAGGCTGTGTGTGTG